TGTGGTTGACTGAAGCCACATATTTGCGCGAATCCTTTGGGCTCCGTGACACAGAGGAGGCGCGACAGTACGGTATGTGGTGTGTGTACATACATGTATGTTTGTGTAAATATAAGACTCCAATGTAGTTCTGACCCGACCACCAGCTGATGCTCTTACGCGGTAACAGAGGGAGAGATGATGCGTCTTGATGTTACGTATCAATGGAGAGGGAGGAAAGTGTGTGTGTGGTGCCTGTATTGTTGTGGGGGGCCGGGCGCGCCGGGAGCGGGGGGCGCTGGGGGGGGCGGGGGGGCGAGGCGGGTCGGAGGCTTTGGGTGGTAGTTATTGGAGGGGCCAGTGGGCGGGCATGTGTGGCAACGTTGCGGCACGAGAGTCGGCCCAGAGTTTACTGATACATGGGCGCACACAGCTAGAGATGGACCCACCGTCACACCGCGCGGTATAGGGCTTAAAATAGCGTTATTAAGAAGCTTCCCCTCTCCCCTTTCTTTTTATTAACCAACAGCTTCCTCTTGACACGGTTAACGCTGTGACGGTCAACACGGTTAAACGGTCACCGATTTACATCCCTATTCACACTTGCTCTTTTGAATAAGAAGAACACAGTCCTTCACACATCCATTTTCTTCCATAATCCATTTATGGGTTCTGGGGGGGTGGCAGTCAGATGCTGCACCCAGTAACACATGAGCACAGGGCCCCTCACTAGATCCTCCTGCAGGTGGTGAAGTCACAGGAGGAGTTTCAGCAAAGTGTGGTTAAGTGTCTTGCCCAAGGACACAACGACAGCAGACATCAGTGGGAGTCGTGAAGTAGGTCTCCGAGAGGTGGCTTGAACCCACAACCTTCAGGGGCCAAAGGCCACTGCTCTACCAACTGAAGCTACTGTCGCTCAGTGGTGGGCGGACAGCAGCAGAGGGCAAAGCCTTTAGCCCGCATTGTGAGATACTGTCTCTCTGTATCATTGTGAGTTTTATTGCCAGACCAAAAACATTATTCGCCATTTATGTGCCATTAAAGATTTTGTATGCCTAAACTATTAGGTTTGTTGACAAGTTCAAAATTTTAGTCTAAAAAGGTTTCCAGTACAGAACCTCCCAGTTCTTGGAGTCCTGGAGGGGTACTGGACAGTGCACCGTTTCAACTCCTGGTGGGTTCCATAACCTGAGATTCCACTCACGTCATGGGGACTGGTTTTACGTGGTGGGGCCCGAACACCGGACCCCACTGGTCCAAGCTTAATAATCAATGGGTAATGCTTTTCTAACGGTCCTTATGCAGTCTCTGTAAAAATATGGAAAGGACCCCTGGAGGTTTACTTTCCTGAAAAAAGTGTGTTATGTGTCGGAACCCTGGTGGTGGGTTGCGGGATATCAAGGAGGGGCACACTGGGGCAATTTCAGTCCAGCAGGCTGGAGCCAATCATGGAGCAGCACAACAGAGGAAATCAGGTGTCAGGCTAGAAAAAGGTGCAAGTGTGTGGTTCATTAGGCTGCAAGAAATCATGGAGGAGCACACTGAAGCGCACGCTTACAAACCACTGGTAAGTGCTGACTACAAGTCATGACTTCAAATTGTTATATAGAATGATTACAAATTATTTGTTGTTTGTGCAGCTTAGTCAAGAGTCCCTAATTGATGAAGTCGACTCAGATTCTGACGATTTAACTGTCAAGAAGAAACCTGTAAAAAAGTATGGAAAAAGAAAAATCAAAAACACTTTTCTTCAAGACTCGGAAAGTGACGAACCAAAGGCAAATAAGATTGTTATCATGCAGCTGCAAAAGAAGAAAAATGGGGGGCGAGTATACAGCAAGAGACACTTCTGCCTCTACTGTTCAATGTCCTGCCACAAAATGTCCCGTCATTTGACTAGAAAACATGGAAATGAAAGTGACGTAGCCAGAGCATTGGCTCTACCTGTGAAATCTAAAGCACGTAAACTTCAGTTTGATTTGATCAGGAATAGTGGAAACCGTGAGCACAATTTTGAGGTTTTAAAGGCCGGCATTGGAACTTTAGTCCCAGCTAAACAGCCAAATTGCCCAGTTAAATCCAGTGAGTTTTTGCACTGTATAGACTGTGGGGCATTGCTTAAGCGAAAGTCGCTGTGGAGGCATGTGGCCAGGTGCCGGCTTTCACAGAAAGATGCCCAGGCTAAACCAGGTAGAAGTAGGGTCCAGTCCCTCTGCTCCCTAGCCCAGCCTGTACCGGAGGGCATCAGCAAAAAGCTGTGGTCTTTAATTTCGGCAATGCATCAGGATGAGGTCACGGGTGTTGTCAAAGCAGAAAAGGGGATTCTGAGACTCGGAGAGCACCTGTACTTAAAACACGGGCATGATAAGACAAAGCATGATTACATTAGGCAGAAAATGAGAGAAGTCGGTAGGTTAATTAACGAAGCAAAAACCGCAGGGAAACTGAAAACAATTAAGGATTTCTTTATTCCTTCCAACTTTAACCATGTGATTGATGCAGTCAGGTCTGTGGCTGGATATGATGAGGAAACAAATCAATACAAGACTCCATCCTTGGCCCTCAAACTCGGCCATAGCCTCAGAAAGCTAGCAGATATTCTTGAATGTGACTCAAAAATGGAGCATTGTGTTGATGAACTATTTATTAAAAACCTCCAACGAAGCCGGCTGCTTTTTGAGAAGAGGTGGGACGTCTGTGTTTCTTCTGCTGCCCTACAGACCCTCCGGCAAGCCAAGTGGAACACTCCGGACCTGCTCCCTCTGACTGAGGACGTTAGAGCCATGCATGCACATATTGAGGTATGTCGACCTGAATATGTGCAAACCCTAATAAGTGAGCCAACGTCTAAGCATTGGTCTAAACTGGCAGTTTTGACTCTTTGTGAGGTCATCATTTTCAATCGAAGAAGGGAAGGTGAGGTTTCAAAGATGCCACTGACAGCCTTTACCTTAAGAAGTAAGACTGGGATCCATTCTGACATTGCTCTGGGACTGTCCCAACTTGAGAAAAAGCTGTGTCAGCATTTTCAACGCATTGAAATTAAAGGGAAAAGAAGTCGGAAAGTGCCGGTTCTTTTGACTCCTGAAATGATTGCTTCGATGGAGGTGCTGGTGGAGAACAGAAGGGCCTGTTCCATCTCTGACCATAACCCATACTTCTTTTCCCGCCCGGGCGCAGACACCCACATCAGGGGATCAGACTCCCTACGCCAGGTAGCCAAAGAATGTGGTGCGGTGCATCCAGAGATGCTATCCTCAACCAAACTTAGAAAGCACATAGCTACTATGTCTACAGTTCTCAATATGAAAGAGAATGAGATGGACATACTTGCCAACTTCCTCGGCCATGACATTCGCATCCACAGGCAATATTACAGACTACCAGAGGGGACACTGGAGCTGGCCAAAATCAGCAAAGTGTTGATGGCCATGGAGCAGGGAAGAGTGACGGAATTCGAAGGAAAGAGCCTCGACCAGATACAAATTGAGCCTGAAGGTAATTCTTGATATTATTAAAATATGTATGATTTTTTTCCCCTAAAGGCCACTTGTATTTTTATTTTCTGTGCGACAGGGAGAGCAGTAGAGATCCTCTCACAAACGGACGGGCTAAAAGAAACTTCAAGCGGAGAACCTTCAACCATTCATCCAGATGCACCCCATGGTAGTGGCAGTGCCCCTTCTGGTAAGTGTACCAGGTGGGGGATTACAGCCAGGCTGCTTGGTCCTCACCCTGGGAGTGTATATTGCTAATATATTTTTATTTCTCTCCCTAGAACGTGTAAGAAAGCCATGGTCTGCATCTGAGGTGAAGGCTGTGGAGAAGACCATGACACCTTTCATACAGACTGGAAAGGTCCCTGGGAAGTCTCATGCAATCCTATGTGATAATAATTTGAGTGATACACCACACAACACTTAAAACCTGTGAGATTATAGCCATCTCTTGTATAGTGGTGACGTCACCTCTACTCAAACGAGCTGAGTCAGAGAGCAGTCTGCTTCTCTGTCTGTGAGCCCGCCTCCCCCCACCCACACGGTGACGTAGCATCGTTTATCTCTGGTACATAGTACTTAGAATAAACTTTTTCCAACAATGACAATCCGTCACATCGAGCCCTATGTCCTCCATGTACAATCAGACCCTAATTATTTAGTTTACAGAAGTATACGATGAGTTAGCGTCACGTTACTCACGGATCGGGACTCAGTGTGTTAGCGTCTTTTATCGTAGGAATAACACTGGTTTCCAAATCAGTTTTTGAGTTAGTCCAGTTCCATTGTCCCTGTAGTTCTGGAACAGTCTCAGTTAAGTGTTGCAGATGAACAGATTCAACCAAACAGAGGCAAATCCATGTGAAAAAAATTGAGCCACTTTCTTCCTCTTCGGGCCAAATATTGCGTCACATATTTACAGCCAAAACACATTTTCTCCAAGTTGACGCGATCCTAGCACTTTTAGTCGGTGACAAAAGCATAAAAACAGTAGCTCAATGTGGCGTCTGCGGGACCAAACCACAGATACGCTAGACTCGGGAGCCGGACTCAGGAACTGGCTGCTGTGATTCACTTTTTCAATCACCTCCCGGCTTTTAGCGTTATAACAAACAGCATACTTATTGTGTATTGTTTTCCCTGTTTTGACAAAAGTATTTACAATTTACAATTTACATTTTCAATACAAAGCAAACGGGCTTATGCGCGTCATATTCGTCATCAGTGTGGTAATCGTCACTACAGAAGTGGACCCAGGCGTTTCACTGCCTCACGAGGGGGAAGGAGACAGATCACTCTCTAACTAAAGAGTGACAGAATCAATGAAAAAAATACTCCAAAAGAACAGCAATCATTTTTAAAGCAGAGAAAAGTCAAAAAGCGTAATATGGGCCATTTAAAGTATTATGCAGTAGTACAATGCCGTGCTGTTGTTTGCTGTTTCTAGTGGGATCCTTTCTGCTGACGTCAGAGCCTGCGCTAGCTTTACCCAACAGGAGTCTGTCAGCATGTGTGTGCTCAGACTGTGGGTGCTGCTGCAGACAGCGGCGTCCTCTGCACTGGGTTGCGCCGGTGGCTCCTATTGTCCCACAGAACAATCTGTCCTGAGTACGTGCCCCCCACCACCAGGTTAGGATGGAACCTGGCAAAGCCCACTGACACCACCGGAGACTGAGGACACAAAAGGGTTACAAAACCAAGCATACACAAAATTCAGCATTATTTGGATTAATTTAGTCTCTTAACATGAACTTGAATATCATAAGAATAAAACTTTGGTGTAACAAAAACCAGAGATTGTGTAGCCAATATTAGACAATCTAAATACTTTATTTTTGGAGGTGATTGGATTAATATAAACTTTTTGCTTCTTCCAATGCCCTTTCAAACCAAAACAAAGGACATTTAGAACATATAAATATGTAAGGGATAACTAATAGTACGCAGGTCATTATCGGAAAATAAGTACCTTCAGGGCGAAGCGGACCCCGACGCGCACTTTTAGGAATGTCGAAAGGTTTATTTAAAATAAGAAAGAAAATAAAATAGTTCCCAAAGGCTTTCCCGTGGCCATGCTAGCAACAGTTAGGCTATCAACTTCCAAACTAGAACTCCCTGGAACTGCATGAAAACTGAACAAAGAATTGTGAACATCAGCGGTGAGTGACCCAAACATAAACCTAACCTAAATCCATAATTCGATCCTCTGCAAATGTGTCCTAAAATGTGCCGGTATCTACTTCCTGGTTTTTCGGGATCGCCTTTTCTCGCATTACATCAGTGTTTTTGTCATAAAAACGTAAACGGAAAATTCTGAAAACTTCCGTGCATTTGTATTAAGAATGTATATGTCCAATGTATTCTCAAATTAACATTTAATAGCGTTGATTGATTGGCATTTGCGTTTAATGAGCGTGAAAAGCTCCGGAGTGGCTGGAACTACTTATGGGTTTTTCACGATCGCTTTTTGACGCAGATACATAGTATTTTTGTCATGAAGACAAGAGAAGTAAATTCTGAAAATCTCCGTGCACGTGTGTGAAGAATGTATAAGCATTCTCCGATTAACATTTAAGTGTGTTGATTGATTGGTATTTGCGTTTGTTGAGCGTGGCTAGCTCCTGAGTGGCCAGAACTACTTGTGGAGTTATCCACGCATCTGAAAGACAAGCAGAGAGTGCGTTGCCATGGGCAGCGGCCATTATTGTTTTGAGAGGTCCGTTATAAAAAATAATGGCCGGTAGAACATTTTGAAATTACATTCAAATCAATGGAGCTTTCTACTGCTGCTGTGAGGAGCCGTATAATAAATGCAATTAATCGCGAGTTAACCGTGACATTAATGCAATCAATCACATTGAAATATTTTAATCGTTTGACACCCCAAATCTTAACACAACATAAATACCTTCATGAACATGACTTTAAAAAACAACAGATAAGTAGAACAAACTAAACTAATCAGATATCAAGATTGATCAACAATGGGAGAAATCCTTTTTAATATGGTATTCCAGCCCCTGGAGCTCGTGGTGCTGGGATAGTGTGGCTCTTACTCTGTGACCAGTTAGCCATCCCATTCATAACGATTTTGAAAACAGAGCAATTAGACAGAAGGGATGGGGTATGTGAAATACGAGAGGTGTGAGTAAAGAAGATATAAGTACTCTTGTAATCTGCTGGTGGTAGTGGGAGTCACAACCACAAATACATGCCATTTAAAACATGGTTCTGAAGGGCTCTCAAGTGATCATTTATGACACATTTTTCTTTTGACATGTGTCTAGATATACTCCAGGTGCTCTGGTTTCCCCTACTAAAAACATACATTTGGATGGAAAATAGCCTTGAGCCATTTTTTTGTGTATTTATAGGAGTAGTTTAAAATTTATAATATCACAATTAATATGGAGAATTATCTTATTAATATTTTTTTTTTAACAAATTCTATGTTTAGATGCAAGAAAAGATTATTTTGTTGATTTTTGCAAGATAGATTCCCCATTAGACACTAGAAGCCTCCTGCGTGTTCTCCATTTGTACTGAACAAAAAAGAAACACATTTCTCACACATTATGTCATTCAATCAAAATTGCGGGAGTAGAGGGTACCCTGACCACAGCCCGTCTGCCCGCACAGGTACGGTCTCCCTGGGTCAGCCATCTCCATCAGCACAGCCGCTCCTGCTGAAATTGCGGATGACACCATGGGATATCTATGCAGTGAGCGTGTGCACGCAGCGTGAAGGCCCTGGGAAGACTGCACCCTGGCAGGGGGACCGGCCATGCAGCCCGGGCAGGCTGAGAGGCGCACAGAGTGGGGGCACACAGGACAAAGAAGGGATTGTGGTTCATGTTACACTCCCAGAAGTGATAGCATATTTCTGCAGAAGCGTAGCTGCAGTAAGGGGGCCAGGATCTCGGACAGGAAGTACAGTGGGGCATGTCAGTGCTGAGATGGGAGACCGCGTGGGACACTGAAGGACCAGTGGGCATCCTCACATCTGTCTTTCTGCTGGGGTGGAGTATATTATAAAACATTGAGATTATTGTTGTTAAAATAATGTTAACGCGTTTCACGCATGTCCGAATGACCCGCCCATGTATCCCATAACATCACTCAGAATGCAGCGGACACATGCGTGTGTGAGAGGCGACAGAGCAGGAAGTTTTAAAAGAATACGCTCTTGACCGCGGGGCACTTTCTGTTGTTCTCTATGAACCGAAGTCTGCATACTCTGTGGCCGAAGCGTTCTGACCCGGGGCAACTGTGGCCGCTCTGGAGAGCGGTTCCCACCTCCAGCAGCTATGAGCCGCTCACTACAACACGGCAAATGGCGCCGCGGTAACGTGATCCAAGACCATACATGCACAGGACTATTCTCTTTTTTTTTTTTTTTTTTTTTTTTTTTTATTAAGTGATACATAGACATACAAAAGTGATACATAGACATACAAAAGTGATACATAGACATACAAAAGTGATACATAGACATACAAAAGTGATACATAGACATACAAAAGTGATACATAGACATACAAAAGTGATACATAGACATACCAAAGTGATACATAGACATACCAAAGTGAAAATGGTTGGTACAACAGCAAAAAGAACAAAACATGGGGGACATAAAACATGGGGACATACAAAGAGATACACATATTGAGACAACATGAAACATTACACATGTGCGGTGTGTGTGTGTGTCTGTGTGGTGTGTGTAAAAACATTGAAGCAGTGACAGAACATGGGGACAAACAAAGAGATACAAATATTGAGAGAACATGAAACATTACACAATGGGCGGTGTGTGTGTATGTGTGCGTGCAAGCGTGCGTGCTAGAAAGAGAAAAAAAAAAAGAAAAAATACATACAAATAATAAACAACAAGTCAATTAAGAAGATCATCAACACCAACATTATTTAATACGATTTGAATTTATGTTTTATGAGTTAAGAGATACTCCAGCCTCCACCTTCTTTGCCTGTTATCTGCTGTCTTTATGGATTGTGTGTGTGTGTGTCTAAGATGCATTAAAAAGGACATGATTGGAGTGTTGGAGCAGCGGTGCTGCTTCAAGTTCTCCTCATGTGTCCTGAATCCCTTGCCATGTGTGTATATGTTTATTTATTTTTTCCCTTATTTTTTTTTTTTGTCCAACTAATTCATTATGAAGATAATAATAGGTCAATCTTAAGTAATTGTATGTGTCACATGTGTGTGTAGTCAAAACTTCTGGTATATCTTTTTGTTTTTTTTTTTTTTTTTTACAATGTCTATAACCCACACACACACACACACGCGTGCACGCGCACACACGCTCACACGCACGCACACATATGTACGTAAATAATAATAATAACCATAATAATAACAACAACAACAATACAATACATTGCTATTAGTGTAAGCAATAATTCTAGGAAGGTGTTTTCTGTGTCTTGAGGTGCGGTGGTCCGAGGTTATTTATGAATAGAGTCCATGATTTAGTGAAGGCCGCCATATGCTTCTGCTTCTCTGCTGTTTGTTTTTCTAATAAAATATGGTCTCTGAGTATGTTGGTCCAGTGGTTGATATTGCAAGTGTTTTTGTTTTTCCAGTTTTGGTATATAACCTTCTTAGCGAGAGTAAGAGAGATGAGGAGATGAGAATGATATTCATGTGGTAGGTCTATTTGTGTGATATCTCCTAGAAGACACAGTAATGGATTTAAAGGGATTCTGCAACTCAATATGGAGGAGAGTTTATCTGTTATTGCAATCCAGAGTGCTTGTACCGGGGGACAGTTCCAAGTGGCATGTAAATACGTGTCTGTACTATCCTGATTGCAATGTGTGCAAATGTCTGTGTCTACTAATTTCATTTTATTCAGCCGGTTCTGTGTCAGGTGATATCGATGAATGGTTTTATATTGGGTTAGCTGAATGTTAGTGTTTGTGGTGAGGAAAATGTTTCTACAAATGTTGTTCCAGAAGCAGGGATCAGGAGAGAAGTTCAAATCTTGCTGCCATTTTTCTGCTGGTAGTGTTAACTGAGGGTTTATTGACGAGATTAACTTGTATATTTTAGAGGTGATCTTTTTTGAACTTTTTATATTCAAAATGTTATCGGTTAGTGTTGAGGGTTGTAATGCATTTTCTGATAGTTTAGTTTTATTCTTAATTAAGCCTTTGAGTTGGTGGTATTGGAGGTATTGCTCTCTCCCAATCCCGTACTTCTGAATGAGTGTGTTGAATGCTATGAATGTATGGTTTTCAAAGAGATGTTGAAGGTGAGAAATGCCCTTTTCATGCCACAGTGGAAAATAAATGGGTGAGTTTTGCAATTGAAAGTCGGGGTTGTGCCAGATAGGGGTGTGTTTACATGGTGATAGTAGAGAGTTTGTGATCTTGTTAACTTTCCACCAGGCTGTCAGAGTCGTCGAGATTGTGAGAGATTTGAAATATGGGAGTTTTTTTATTGATTCTGGTAAAAAAGGGAGATCTGCTATGGGTGTTTTGCATTGGTCTTGTTCTAATTGAATCCATTGCTTGTTATGGTTTTTGTTATAAATCCAAATGTATAGATATTGTAGTTGAGTGGCATAAAAATAGCGAATAAAGTTTGGGGCTTCAAGTCCACCCTGTATTTTTCCATTTTGTAGTGTTGCAAGAGATATCCGTGGTCTTTCATTTCTCCAGTAGAACTGTGTTGTAATAGAGTTTAATGATTTAAACCAGTTAGCAGTGGGTGTGATGGGGATCATTGTAAATAGGTATGTGATTTGGGGTAGAATTTTCATTTTGACTGTGTCAATACGGCCTAATAATGACAATGGGAGGTTATTCCAGCATTTTAAAGAGTCTTCAATTTTTTTAAGTAGTGGGGTGTAATTAAGGTTGAAGAGCTCTGACAGCCTGGGGGAGATTGTGATTCCCAGGTATTTTATATTGTTTGCCTGAAGGGAGGGAAATGATTTTTGAGTTGCAGAATCCCATGCATCTTTGGTTAGTGGTAGTATGGTTGATTTAGTCCAGTTTATTGTGTAATTCGAAATAGATGAAAACTTTTTGATTGTATTAAATGTTTCTTGCAGTGAAATACGTGGGTGTTGCAAATATAATAATAAGTCGTCTGCATAAAGGCTGATTTTGTATTCAGTGTTTCCTTGTTTGATCCCTTGAATTTCATTATTACTCCGTAAAACTGTTGCTAAAGGTTCAATGAATAAAGCAAAGAGGGATGGAGAGAGTGGGCAACCCTGCCGGGTTCCTTGGTGTAACGTGAAGTTAGGTGAGGTAATGCCGTTGGTGGTGACTGTGGCTCTAGGTGAGGAGTAAAGTGTCTGAATCCATTGGACGAACGACTCTCCAAAACCAAATTTCTGTAACGTATTAATGAGGAATTTCCAGTTGACCTTGTCAAATGCCTTTTCAGCATCTAGTGAGAGAATAATAGTTTTATTTTGTTGTTTTTGTTGAGCATTATGGACTATATTGAAGAGTTTCCTGAGATTGTCTGATGCGTGTCTGTTTTTGATGAATCCGGTTTGGTCTGGGTGGATGAGTGAAGGTATGACTGTTTCTATTCTTGTTGCAAGCGTTTTAGTTATCATTTTAAGATCTGTGTTTATCAGTGAGATTGGACGATAATTGGATGGATGTGTTGGGTCTTTGTTTGGTTTCGGTATCAGAGTGATAGTAGCTGTATTCATATATGTGGGTATTATAGAAGTTTATTTTTTGATTTCTGCTATTACTCTCATGAAGAGTGGTGATAAGACATCCCAAAAATGTTTGTAGTATTCGGCTGGATATCCGTCAAGTCCAGGTGATTTATTATTTGGCATCGAATTTAAGGCTTTTAGTATTTCATTTGCGGTGAGGTTATTACCTGGCTAGGACATTTTTATAGCGCAACCGTGACCTCATCTCCGTCGTATCAATAAGCACTCACAATAGGTCCTAGCCAGGTAACATATTACCCCAATACTCCACATGTCATGTACCATAATATTTAGCAGAAAGCCTGTTTAATAGATGTACAATAGACGTGGGTCTTGGCGCACAAGCTTCAAGGTAGTTCTGGGATCATAAACTACTCTGATCAAAACTACAAAGAAACATCCACACTGTAGAAATTAGTCTTACTATACCACTATACAAATAAGTCTTTCCTCCCTTACTACTATTACTTATTACTAATATTATTACTATGTTTTCAGCCTAAAGCAACCAGAGAAATGGCCTGTCAGACGGATCCAATCATCAGCAGGCACGCTTGTGTCCAGGCCAATGTTAAGCCCAGCAGGCGCAGCAAAGGTTATTTGTCTTTTATAACAGTCTGTATTATTCACTAGTACAAGAGTTTAATTTTACTTTGGATTCGCTGTTAGATGCTAATGTAACCATTTATGAGTGCTATTAATAATGTGTTTATCTGTTCTTTTAAACAGGCTTGCAGGTGCAGGCTCCACATAAGAGCGTCAGCGTTTCCTGTGATACAGGGACCTTCATGGGAATCCCACTTCCTGAAAGCCCCCGAGCAGCCTCTACACCCTTGAAAAGAAAAAGGTGTGAGGTGTCTGCATCTGACCCCAGCTTCCATCTGAACGACAGTTCTCTGAACTGTTCAAGTAAAAATGTATGGGGGAAAAGAATGCTTGTGTATTATTTAAAAAATATACCTTGGAAAATATTGTATTCTCTTAAATGGTTACATTTGCCTCTTCCTACATAATAGCGCTACAACGGAAGTCCCTCCACACAAAGCCAGAAAGTACATTGTTCATGAGGACCAACTGCTGTCGCTCTTTCAAAAATGTCCTGTCTGCACTCGTCGTTGTACAGTTGAGACAACCACATTGGGCACACTCCTCCGAGTGAAACAGCAGTGTCCAGCATGTGAGTACTTCATGACTGGTCCAGTCAGCCCATGGTGAAGGATATACCAGCTGGAAATCTTCAGCTTTGTGCTGCTGTCCTCTTCACTGGCTCGTGTTTTGGTCAGATTTCCAAGGTATATAAATCGTCTTATCTGTATTGACAATGTTTCCATAACAGTCAGTTGGTAATATTACTTTATATTGCATAGTTCCTGAGGGCTTTCAACATTCAAGGACTGTCAGAGCAAACTTTTTACAAGCATCAGGCCAAGCTCCTCATCCCGACGGTCAGCTGGCAGTGTAGAAGCTTGAGCAGGACGAAAAAATGTATTTCAGAGCAGTGAAGTTGGGAACAGTGTAAGGATGGAGAAGGAAGGATTTATACGCAGTCTGACCATGCTGGAAGAGAAGGGTGTGAAAGTACAGGCAATTGTGACGGACAGACACACAGGAGTGCAGAAGTACCTAAGGGAGGAAAAAAAAGACATCACTCACTATTTTGACCCTTGGCACATGGGAAAGGGTATGTATTTAGCGTATAATTAACAGATAATATAGATCTAATCCATGTAATAAAAAAAAATGTCATAGGAATGGGGAAGAAAATAGATGGACTGGCAAAGAAAAAGATCACTCAGGATGTGGGCCAATGGAGGAAGAGCGTGGTGAATCACCTCTACTGGTCAGCCTCTACTTCCTCCTCAGGAGAAGAAGCTGTGGCCAAGTGGACCTCTGTAGCCAACCACATACAAAATATTCACGCGCATGATAATGCCCTGTTCCCCTGCTGCCAACACGAGCCACTGGTTGGGGAAAGAGCAAGGGAGTGGCTCAAGCCAAGTTAGTAATGACAGTTTTTCTTTGATTATATATTTAGTTATCTTGGACATTTTGCATGTTCTTTCTAATCCAAAATACATTTCCATTGATCATTTTGTGTGTAGGCACAGCAGCATGCGAAAGACTAACGGCCATTTTACTGGCGCCGAGGTTTCTGAAGGACGTGGAGAAAATCAGCCCACTTTACCACACGTCCTACATTGAGGCATTTCACAGCCTCATCATCAGGTTCTCTCCGAAAAGTGTGTGCTTCTCCTTTAAAGGAATGATGGCCAGGTAATGAATACCAAAACCTTGTAAAAGTATTTATTTCTATTCCCTCATTATATATATTTTTTGAAACTGAACCAAATAACATCACTGTTTTCTTATTTTTGTTTTGATTGTTCTAGGTTACAAATCTCAGCGTTGCACTATAATGAGAACGCGACACGCACACACGCCAGAACTGCTGCTGGTGAGCTGAGGTACTCCATAGTGTATCCAAAATATAAACATGGCGACTATACTGTGAGAGCTCTGAAGACCAAATTCACCACATGTATGTCATGAAAGAAACTTGACTGTTATGAATGAGGGCTGTTATAATATTTATGTTGTATTTTTTCCCCAGTCTACATTGATAAGCTGATGACTCTGCTGTTCGAGTGTGTGGTGCAGGATACAGTGCCGTATCAAGAGCACTCGGACAAAATACATGTGCCTGAACCACTCTGTGGCCAGTATGAAAGGCCTGACAAAAAGGAGGCAGTGAGCAGGCACAGGTCACGATTTTTCAAGAGCAAATAAGGTGAAAAACAAACACCAGAAGATCACATACAACAAGAATATCCAGAATACAAATATATGGGGTCACTAACTTATTTTGCATGACTGATAGTGTTATAATGTACACATTCTATTGTTCATATGTTTATTCACTGAACACTATGCAAGATTATCATCGTTCTATTATAGCTTTTTTCTGACATGCCTGCATGCCAATAAGAACTAAAATATTTTCAGAAAGCAGACATGAGTCAGCCAGGACACATATCTAACTATGAACCAGAGGTGTGGGAAGACAGGATGGACCTCACTCTCAGGTACCGTCAACATTGATGATAATGTAGTGTTGATCAATTTTTGTAATACATTTAATTGCTGTATTGCACACTAGATACATATTGAATGCAAATTGTCACATTTATATAGCACCTTTTCTACTTTCTTTAAGAACTTGACATCGAGGAACCAGTCACCAATCCATACACCAGTGAATGCAGACAATGGAGGCAAAGAGGGTGAAGTGTCTTGCCCAAGGACAGTGTGCACCTGCGTGATTTGAGCCGCCAATTCTCCAATCACAAGATGACCAGCTCTACTCTGCACCACTGTAGCCGCAAAATGTATACAAGTGTAGATTGTGAATATAGATTTGTTAGTAATGTAGGGGTAAAGTGATTTTTTTGGGGAATTTCAGGTTCTGAAATGTGATTGTCACAGGGTCTAGTGGGTATTTCCTATAAACAGCATTACTTTCAAAAGTCGTATCTAAAAAATAATCAATATAATTTCAAACATAATCAGTCACTGGGTCCATGATCTCTCTGTACAAGACCAACACTTCCTCATTACTATATAATCCTATAGGCCTTTAGCTGTGATGTCACCTGACACTGGGTCCAGGGAGTGTGGCGTTCATGCTTTTGCTGTGACAGTGCCTAAACTTGCTCTCAGTCCATTATCCATCAGTATTTGTTAGGTTTTATTATCAACTGGTGTGTTGTGAGATAAATGTCAGTGGCTTGTGAACATTCCCACATTCAACATCCAAAAACTTCAATTATCTATGTTTGCTTTTAGATACTGTACAATCTTGGTTTAAATGCTCAATGTATATATAAATATGACAAAGTATATTGTATATTTGTTAATATATTTTTTCCACTGGTGCACCAATCTACATTTGGATGCTTATTGTATGTACAAATATGCACGTTATAAGATCTGAAGGAAAAAATTTCAGAATGGCATTTGTGTTTATATTGATGTTTATTGGCCATGAAAATTCAGGACAGGGAGGAACCCCGTGTAAGCCACATAATCAGGGAACTCCAGCCTGATACGGGTCACAGCACAGGACGGGATCACGACTCTGATATGCTGGCCTAGGTAACCCCAACACCACCTGACCACATTCCGGTACGCAAGGTGCCGGTAATTACTGAAAGAAGAGATGTATGGGTTGTCAACCACCTAATTGTTAATCAATTATCCTGCAAAAACTAACCTGTGCACCATCGTCTCTGGCATGTCACCAAAGAGCTGTAAGTATGTGCCATACACTGCCTGCAGCACATATGGGTTGAGGGCAACTGCCTGAAACCCCGGGTGCTCCGTAATGCAGGTGTTTACACCCACCTGCTGACATCTGTGCATTACCTACCACAAATAGGGAACTTAATGAGGAAAATATGATTTGTATAATTATGTCTTATTTAATTTTATTCTATTGTACCTTTGGTGTCTCCCTACAGCACACGTTCTCTTCTGGGGATAATGATGTGCAGTTGCCACACAAACACCTGTTGATGCAGAGTCATGTGTGTGTAACCCTAACCACAATATCCATCTCTTTTGTTCTACATCAAATAAAAATATTAGCAATAATGCTAACACCAATGTACCATTCAGTAACGGGACCCATTCTGTGCTGCACTGATGCCTCGGAAGGCTCGTCAGTGCTAGCTGCACCGGTGGCCATCGGCTCAAACATGTACGGCTCAGGGCCGCCGGACTCCTCCACATTAACCTCTGGTGATGAAGGTGGAGAAAAGTTCTCCACCTCAAAAGAGCGCTCGGTCGCGAAGCTGCTGTCACTGTCACTCTCCATAGTTACAAGAGAGCCGTCAATCAAAGCCCACGCCACGCCCAACTCTAAGCCCCCCTTCTTGTCCCTTGGTCCTCCTGGGCAACGCCCATTTTGGGGAGAATTTTCAAATGTTCATGTGGGCGGAGTCAGGCTGGGCACTGGTGTTTAGTTGATCTTTAAGTATAGGTAAATGCACCATACCTGTGTGGCTATGCCGGCGTGGTCACAGCCGGGCAGCCAGAGCACTCTGCACCCCTGCATCCTCCTCCTGTTGACAGCACAGACACAGCTTTAAGCACAAGAGGCTGGTGTGAATCCTGCATGAGGCTTTAGTTACCATCGCACCAGCGCGTCCTCCACAGCCACCGTTAGCGCGTGGCCCAGGTGCAGAGTGCCCGTCACGTTGGGAGGGGGGATGCAAAGGGAGAAGGTCCAGTCCATGGCATGGGCCAAGGTTTTCTGAGAACACACACAAGTTATAGGACCCTTAAAACGTAGAAAATGCTGGGTTAGGATTAGGGTTAATTAATTACAATACATTTTGTTTTATAATTAGATCTGCTAAAGATCTGGAAAAGGCAAGTCCAGTCTTATTTCATTCAGTTTTAAGCCCAGTAGGTTTTTTGCCTTCAATAGATTATTTTAAGTATATTCTCTACATTCAAGGCCAAGCTTAAAGCTGGATTACCTCACTTTATTTTTGTATTCATTAGGAAAATGTAATCAACAACCATGCAGTGCATTGGGATATACGTCCTTTTGAAGAATAAGTAGTGCTGGTTTGAACTGAAGTGCAATTTTATTTTAGATTGAATTTTGGCGCAACACGGAAGATAATTTATTTTGGGACCAGATTGTGACCAATCACAGCGGACCACTGGCCCCCACTTTCTTGAGAAAAGCTACAGGTCTCTCATTAGCGTGCACAGATAGCTGAGGTAAACGAGCATCATGGCGGAGGCGAACCTGAAACTTTGGTTTCAGGTGTCTTTTTTTTACTGCTTACTGCCTATACAGCTAAACAGCCAAAAGAAAGTCCCAACAAGAACGGACATAGCCCAAGCGTTTGAAGGAGCGGACGAGACTACTTTAGCACAGTGGCAATCAAATGAGGTACAAAAAATACCTGCGACATTTCCATTTGTTTTTGGGCCAAACCAAACGATGTATCCACATATAGCAAATAAGCACGAGCATGAGTGGAAGGGGGGTAGTGGGGGGCGATAGCTTTGTGAGTGCAGGGAGTGCAGGGAGGGGGCAGAAAGAGCGAGGGCAAGACATTTGAAACTGCTGCTTCAAAGTCAAAAAGTGAGTTAGTCCAGCTTTAAAACATTCTTTAATTCTGGATATGGCTCCTTTGTGTTTCTTCATCTGAATTAAATATTTATTTAACTCATTCACTGCCATTGACGTCTATAGATATCAATCTATATCCGAACGTTTTCTGAAAGCTTCTAACAAAACGTCCTTTTTTCGTTTTTTTCTTTCTATGGCTCGTCAAGGCTCTTGTGCAAGAGAGAGAGCTTTCATTTGGTATGTTTCATACTTGTGTCAACCAAGGGCTCACATTTATATGAGGTTTGGAAAAAACTAAAAATATCCAAAATCTCTGGCAGTATGAGGGATGCTGCTTTATATATGGCTGGCAGTGAACTAGTTAATATCATACGGTCCTATTTTGGACGGCGCAATGCATTTCCTTTTATAGAGAAATATTAGAAACATTCATGATGTTACCTTATATGTCATTAGTACATTATAAAATAAATTGCTGAAAATTAATTAATTTCTATATTAATTTCTAGAATAGTGTGACGCTTATGTTTATGTACATGTATACAATATGGATATGCTATACAATAACAGGGTAGGGTTTGGTCCTGTAGAACAAGAAGCCCCTGACCTATAATTACAGTGCTACTGACTCGCCATATACATTTCTTTTAACTACATAATTAGGGTTTGATTATGGATTTAGGACATAGGGCTTATTTATTTATTATTTATTTATTTATCACTGGGACAGTGCATATTAATGAACATTTCTGTAAATATGCCAGAATTAGCCAAGCGGCTATTTTTCATCCGTAAAATGGATTGCCATTGCTTGAAAAATTGTATTCTCAGGTCTGAATGTGTACCAGCAAAGCTGAAGAGTTTACTTTGGAGGTAAACAACTCAGCGTGAGCCTACGTCACTGTACGGGTGGGGGTGTGCGGACTCACAGATAGAGCACCAGGGAGGAGCACAGATCAGCTCGCTTCAACTGAGCTGACATCACCTCTGTGCAAGAGATGACTATAATCTCACAAGTTAGACCGTCACTCAAGCTGCATAGGGAGTCAGTTTGCTGGGAGAAGTATGGTAACTTGAGCACCACCCTCTCCTCCTTCCTACTTTATCTGTTAGCATTATTAGGATTTTGACTGTAGTTTGTTCATTGCTATTCACCCGTTGTCCCATTGTCTGTTTCATGGTACGACGACGGGACCTCTGAACCTGGCCTCCTCCATCTACACCTGCGGACAGCCCTGCCCGACCCGCCTGGGAGTGCTTCAGTCCCGCACCGGACCTGTCCATGCTCAGCGGCCGCTGCATGGCTCTGGTCCACATTCTGTAGCTTAGGTCCTGAATCTATAGGGCTGAAAAGTCTCGTCCCAGAAGCACTTCAGGTTCTTTGCTCGGATACAAACAAACCACCAGCTGTTCGAAGAGGCTGTTTAATTGAATGGTGCAAAATGCTCTGCTTTGTTTTCGGCTGTAATCTTCAAAGTTTACATTGCGACGCATGCTCATTTTTTAGGTTTCCGAAAGACCAACTGAAGCTGTGGGAAAAGCTCTGCAGTTCTGATAAAACATTTTGTCTGATTTTACAGACGGTTAACTTGAATATGTATTCAAGTGAACTTTTAGCTAATGCTAACTTGTAAACAGTGCACGGCCGAGCCTTTAATTGTGGCTTGTATTTTAAGATAAGATAAGTTAGACTTTATTGCTCTCATACAGGAGAAATGTATTTATTTGAGGGATAAAGGAGGAATAATGCAAATGGACAATCATTAGTATTAAATGAATAGGTAACCCAACTACATTTTATTTTTGACAGCACAGCAAAAAGAAGGCCCAATATGAAGCTGCAATGAGTGTGAAGTGGAGACGGTTGCTAATGAACAGATAGAAAACCGATCATTCATATACATTGGCTTATAACCAAAGCAGCAAAGATAGCTGTGGGACAACATGAATTTATTTGCATGGGAATAGTGGTTCTATATTTTCTTTCTGATGCATAATAATGGATTAAAAAAACAATGAGTTTGAACACGGCCCTGCACCGTTCTCATCTCCCCCTCATATAGAAACTTCAGGACATGGCCAGAGTTCACAGCTAATTCCAAATGCTCACTCACTGTCCCAGAGACGAAACGTGTCCAAAACAACACAGGAAAATCCATTAATGAAGAAGTCGGCGATCTCAGCACCATACAACTGGCACGTGTGGTTTGTTTGTATCCGCGGGTGGAAATCTCGCACTTCCGCTTTCCGGCCCTATAGCCCGTCCGTCCGTGTGGAGCGAATTCCTTTCTCAATATGTGGGTCTCCCTGAGGTTTCTCACTTTTATCCCACTGGGTTTTTGTGAGTTTTTCCTTGCCGATCCAGGATCTGAGTCTGTTGGACAGTTAGTGTCCAACAAAAAGGACTGTGGTGATGATCCAGAACGCTTTAACATTCTACAACATGTATGTAAAAAAAATTTTTTTTACATGTTCTATATTCTTTTTGTGTCTTAACTGTTGATTCTCTGATCTGTGTTCAATGGTTTTGTTAAGTCCTCTGAGATTACTTTTGTTGTGATTTAGGGCTATACAAGAATACATTGAATTTTATTGTATTGTACAAGTTTTGAGTGTTGTATGGTGTATCACTCAAAATATTACCACAAATGTACACAGGATGAACTGTGAAACATGAAGCGAAATATGGCACCTTTAAAAGGTGGAGTCCCTAACTTTTGTTGCTTTCATAAACACAAATCAAGCCACAGCTGTTTTTATCTTATTTGAAAACAAAATGTTATCTTTGACATACTGAGAGCAGTTTAGTGTTGTCTGTGTGAAAATGATAGAACCAAGAGCAAGAGAGTGATAACAGTTCTGAAGATTTTTCCCACTACATATGGCCCAACCCTATTGGTTACAGCTAGATATCCATAAGATCCATATCTAAAGCTCTGTTTCCCTGTCACAGTATTAAACCTTCAAAAGTTCTCCTTGGTAAATAGGTTTAAGACCCCACAGTAGAGTCAACATATTGCAGTGTGAGGTCTCACGTGCTGCTCTGGCCTGAAGAAGCCCTCCTTCTCCCACCACTGGTACCAGCTGGGCTCCACATAGTCTGGGCTGTAGGCAGCAGGGAAAGGTACATGGGTGTCTGAAAGCAGAATTAATAATTTTGTATCATTTTGAATCTTACAACAACAAAAAACTGAGTAAGACATCAAACACACCTTTCTTTGCCCCTGGAGGAGTTTGAATTGTGTACAAGATTCTCTCCTTCTCTGTCCAGTGCAGTCCCTCATCTTTGGGAGACTGGAAACAAAGACACACATAGATGGATTTTTTGGGTCAAATTTAAGACCTTTTGTAAAAAAAACACTACTAACTTTCTATTCAATTCAATGTATGTTTATGAATGAAACACAACTTAACAAAGTTGTCACCAAAAACAAATAAGAGAATCAAAAGCAATAATAACTCTATGGGGGCAATGGTTCCAAAAGAAGAACTAGCGGTCCATAGGGAGCGGGATAACCAATGTGTGCATAAATGTCCATAAACGTCCCGGATTATCACTATTCTGAGACCGTTCTGCATCAAAAAGGAATGAAAAAAAAGAAGTTTGAGATCCACTCCCACAGACAAACAGGCTGTAGAACCAGGACTGAGGGTGCAGAACCAGGAGTGAGGCTATGGGAGCCTCCTCAGTCCCGGAACTACAGCCTCAGTCGTGGTTCTACAGCCTCAGTCCTGGATCTACAGCCTCAGTCCTGGATCTACAGCCTCAGTCCTGGATCTACAGCCTCAGTCCTGGATCTACAGCCTCAGTCCTGGATCTACAGCCTCAGTCCTGGATCTACAGCCTCAGTCCTGGATCTACAGCCTCAGTCCTGGATCTACAGCCTCAGTTGTGGTTCTAAAATCATGTTTTAAACATTTTGAGAAACAATAAAAATGCTGTGATGTAGGTCTTGAAAATATGATTTTAATTTTTTGTTGTAAACAGCAGTCTTCAGCTCTTTCCACAGATTCTCGATTGGATTCAGGTCTGGACTTTGACTTGGCCATTCTAACACCTGGATAAGTCTATTTGTGAACCATTCCATTGTAGATTTGGCTTTATGTTTTGGATCATTATCCTGTTGGAAGATAAATCTCTGTCCCAGTCTCAGGTCTTTTGCAGACTCCAACAGGTTTTCTTCCAGAATTGTCCTGTATTTGGCTCCATCCATCTTCCCATAAATTTTAGCCATCTTCCCTGTCCCTGCTGAAGAAAAGCAGGCCCAAACCATGATGCTGCCACCACCATGTTTGACAGTGGGGATGGTGTGTTCAGGGTGATGAGCTGTGTTGCTTTTACGCCAAACATATTGTTTTGCATTGTGGCCAAAAAGTTTGATTTTGGTTTCATCTGACCAGAGCACCTTCTTCCACATGTTTGGTGTGTCTCCCAGGTGGCTTGTGGCAAACTTTAAACAAGACTTTTTATGGATATCTTTGAGAATTGGCTTTCTTCTAGCCACTCTTCCATAAAGGCCAGATTTGTGCAGTGCACGACAGATTGTTGTCCTATGGACAGACTCTCCCACCTCAGCTGTAGTTATCTGCAGTTCATCCAGAGTGATCATGGGCCTCTTGGCTGCATCTCTGATCAGTCTTCTCCTTGTTTGAGATGAAAGTTTGGAGGGACGGCCGGGTCTTGGTAGATTTGCAGTGGTCTGATACTCCTTCCATTTCAATATAATTGCTTGCACAGTGCTCCTTGAGATGTTTAAAGCTTGGGAAATGAGTGTGTTCACAGTAAAGTGACAATTGAAGTATCTGGACTTTAAAAGGTTATAACTTAAAAACTAAAATTACTTTCATAGATTGGAAGAAAGATTTCAAACACAGACACATTGAAGAGATAGTGTGGAAAAAATCTAAAGGAAAGATTGACATAAAAATGTTTAGCAACATTTTAAACGACCAAATTAGCCTCTGATTGGACCATTCTACTGTGACGCCAGTTACATAGAAAATAAAATTTCCTCAGTCTGAAAAAGCAGAAGATGAAATCCCACAAGATTTACATGGTTAACACAACAGAAGGAAATCACTTGATATAAAAAGGAATCGTGAAAAAATAAACATGAATTAATTAATTAAATGACCCCTGAAAAATGTATAACGGACGTGATGAGGACGGTCCTCTTTTCTCTAAAAATTAAACTTGAGAAAAAAAAATCTGGTCTGTTTTCACATTTATTTGCTTGACAATATGAAAGTATCACTTTGCATCTACTTTGTGTAAGAAAGTAGAATCTCTGAATCAAATTTGGACATCTGAAAATACCTATCAAACTTCCACAAAGCCCATTCTGTTAAATCATCACGTCCGTTACATAAAATAAACAGGGCCGCTATAGGAAACTTGTCTAATGTATAAAACAGTTATGTTCTAGCAACTTCTAATGGACAGAGGAGGTGTTTGGAAACATGAAAAACATAAAACATCTTCTGATTATTAAAATCTAATTTTTGGCCTTTTGTCACACTTTTGTGCCCTTTAGTGTGAACAAGCCCAAATCTTTTTGTATCCAAGTCCAGCTTTAAACTTCTCCACAACAGTATCTCGGACCTGCCTGGTGTGTTCCTTTGTCTTCATGGTTCTCTCTGCGCTTTAAACAGAACCCTGAGACTATCAAAGAGCAGGTGCATTTATACGGAGACTTGATCACACACAGGTGCATTCTATTTATCATCATCAGTCATTTAGGACAACATTGGATCATTCAAAAGGGCCGTTTCCACGGACCCGACTCTACTCGGCTCGACTCGACTCTCCCCAGTTTGCGGACGTTTCCACCGGCTCGCGTTACCCGTTACCCTTTACTTTTTCAGTAACGGCTTATGACCTGGCTCTAGTCGGGGCTAGCAGGTACTGTAACCCAAGCAACGTTGGCGAACTCAATTCTGATTGGCCAGGGGCGCTGTCAATCACTAATCAGCTGTTCACTCAGCTGTTGCCAGAGACAAACAAGTTCCCAGCCTGACAATTATAATGACTACCGCACGGAAATCAATTCCTTGGGCGATGGATGAAGTCAGCACTTTCCTCAGTTTAGTGGGAGAGGACAGAATCCAGCGTGAGCTCGATGGAGCCACCCGAAACGAGAAAGTTTTCGCGGAGATAGCAGTTATGATGGAGGAGAAAGGATACCAGCGGACATCAGCTCAGTGCAGAGAAAAAATCAAGAAGCTTAAAAGTGACTATCGGGAAATTAAGGGTCATAACAGCAGAAGTGGATCGAACAGAAAATCATGGAGATGGTTTGAACAAATGGATGCTATTTACGGTCATCGGCCAGCTAACACCGGGAGAGATGGGTGCCTCGACTCTGCCTCGTCCCAGCTCCCAGAAGCGAATGGTAAGTGTTTTCTTGCTAAAGTATCTAATCTAGTACAACTAACGTGTGTTTGTGTAGTTTGAAAAGTCTAAAAACAGTTAATGCAGCGTGTGGTTGATGTTATGTTTCCTATCTATATATTATACTAAACGTAGTTAGAGAGTGGATAAATAGCGATTCATAAAAAAAAAAAAAAGACTGTCGTTGTTTTCTAATAACGTTATAATTGAGTAGGGATCATGCATGTATGCATGTATGGTTGATCTATGTATGTGTTTTCAGATTTATTTTCCGTGAGGGTAGAGAGCGAAAACTCTCCAAATTCTCCTGTCCCAGCAACAACTCCAGAGACATCCCCAGAGACCGCCTCCACCGCAGCGACACCTACTGGGCAAGCATCAGCATCAGCAACAGCAACACAGCAGCGTGTGACTGGTGAGTGAACTCTTCATGACAATGTAATACATGACTGCAACAACTTAAATGCATTTAGAAGCTATTACATTAATAAGTAATACCAAATAGGATTGGACCAATATCAAAAGACTGCAATCTCAATGCAATCAGAAAAGGATCAGACACAATGAACTATTGTTTAGGGGGGAACTGAGCTGTCACCTTATTGCACTGCTCACTGCATATTGTGTGCACCATGTGCACTTGTGTATATTGTAATTGTAATCGTAATAATTCTATTTTAAAATGTAAACCTTAGAAGTGTTGCTGATTTGTATTATTATTTGTAGTATATTACTCTATTCTTTATTCTTTGACTGTTGCATCAAGAGCCAAAGAAATTTCCTAGTCTATGACTTCCTGTTAGTTACATGGCAATAATAAGGATTCTGATTCTGATTCATTCACTTCACAAGTAAAGTGAATGAAGCTTGAATAAGAACAATGTCATTGTGTGCATTTGCATCCACTCTTCTCTTTACTGTGTGGCACCATCAAACACCCTTCAGATTACCCTACCTTATTTCTAATCCATTTTCTCTGTCAACCGTGTCAAATCCCTTTGTCTGTCTAGGTAAAAGAAGAAGAATCATGAATCAGCAGGAGATGACCACCGTCATGAGAGAAATTCAGGATGAAGATCTGAGGCAACAGGCACTGAACCGAGATCAACGGGATTCACATGTCCAGTTGCTGCTCGAAGATGCCCGAGAAGCAAGGGAACTAGAGGCGACCCTAAGGAGGGAAGAGAGCTCCCAGAATGCTGCCTTTAATCAGTCCTTTCTTGGTGTTCTCGCACAGCTTGCACAAGCCATAAGTGCTAATCGTAACATTGGTGGACTACAACCTTTATAATAGAAATAGTTGAAGCTAGATCAGAATTGTGTTAATTTAATTGTAATATTTCCCTATAATATAATATATGATGTATATAGAATGTATATTACTTGATTTCTTTGTTTGTAAATTAAAATGTTTTCACTTACATAAAAAAAATTAGCATGAGCTATGTTTACAGCCATTTATAATCATGTACTATGTGAATAAGTGGTATTTCTTTCAAATTGTGCAGTAACAAGAATTCTGCAAACTTTAAGGTTCATTTGCGACCATCAGTGGATATTCATATGCAACGTTTTAAACTTGCAGTCACTTATATATATAAAACAATCTTTAAAGAACACATTCTGACAAACACTATATTGATAAGTCAGAAACAAAATTATGTAATTGAAAAGAAAAGTAATCAGAGGAGACAAGTATTTTTGTATGAATGTTTACTTCTGTCTGAAAAAGCTGATTGAAAGATGTGACAGAAGCAAAAGATACATTGAAACCAAATATGAACTCTTGTGCAAAAAAATATAAAAAAAATAACAATATCCAGCAATATAAAATATACAAAAGAACATTACACTACACATTTACAACTTAATTTACAATATTATATTATTAGTTATGTAACAAATGTTGCATTAGGCCATCTCTAACTTCCTTGCCTCCCTCCTCTGTGTCCTGTGCCATTACCCCAGCTGGCTGAGTTGCTTCTACAGGGCCTGGAGCATCCCACTCTACCTGGTACTGCTCACCATGGGTCTCACAGAGGTTGTGTAGGGCACAACACGCCACTGCCATAGACTTGACTAATTCAACATCACAGTCATTTCTTTTAAGTAGACAGCGCCACCTACCTTTAAGTCTACCAAAGGCATTCTCCACTACAACAACTTACTTACTTACAACTCTGGCTCTACTGAGCCTTTTGTTAAAATTAATTTGATCTGCGGTGAGCTGTCCAGTGTCGCTGTATGGCTTCAGGAGCCAATTTTGCAATGGATAGGCAGAGTCTCCTAAAATATAGTAGCCTGCCGTAATCCCACCAAAAGCCCGAGGGTTTGCTGGAAAAAGGTGACCCTGAGTGGCCAGCTCCCACAAAGCTGATAATCTTAAAACTCGGGCATCATGGAGGCTCCCTGGTTGCCCAGAATTCACATTCCAAAACAGGCCCTTGCCGTCTACTACACCCTGAAGGACTATGGAGTGCCATCCTTTGCGGTTGAAGTAGTCTGTGTGAAATTCTTTGGGTGCAACAATGGGAATGTGTGAGCCATCTACAGCACCAACACAATTTGGAAGCCCCCACCGGTTTTCAAAATATTCTGCAATTGTTTGCAGACGCTCTTGATCTGGACAACGGACAAACTCAAGAACCAGAGATGACTCAGCTGCAGCACAGAACTCCTAAAAACAAAGGACACATTAGGGTACACATAAGGACAGTTTCATAATAATATTTCATAATTTCAGTTAACTGATTTGATTATTTGTAAGCACCTTGTTTTGCCATGGGCTGACAACATACTCTGAGTATTTGTTTCAGTAATAATTTTGTGTGCACCAAATTATACTGATCTGCATAAGCTATGTCTAAAGAAGTCCCAGCCAGTTTTAAATCACGATCAACTAAGAAAAGAAAACTAAGAAAATGGCAAAATAAGACAGAAACAGTGTTTGAATAAATTAAATAGATTAGACCTGTACTTAGACGATCCATATCTAACCTCTTTTAATGTATTTAATATGGAACACTGCATAACTTTTCTTTATTTACATTCATAAAGTGAGTTTTAGTTGTTAGAGCACCAATATTTTCTGAGGGTGAGGTCTGTAATTAAAAAAGGAAAATACTCACTTGAACACAGCGGCACACTGTTGCTCTACTGACACCAAATAGATGTCCAATGGTCCTGTAGTCGCCACCAGTAGCCAGCTTCCAGAGGGCA